GTCGGGTACGGCATTACATGTTTACATGGAAATATAGATACATTGAAATATTGCGATCGTCGGGTACAGCATTACATGTTTACATGGAAAGATACATGGAAATATTGCGATCATTCTTTTCACGATATCGTATTGATACGCTCCAGCAGGCATGGGCAAACTGAGGCCCGGGGGCCTCATGCAGCCCGTTTAGCTTTTTAATCTGGCCCGCCAAATGTGATTACACATAAATACTTTTTTAGTAGTGAGATGTTTAGAAGTGATGTTTTGTTTTTAATCTCGCTGCTAAGTCTGTCCATAACTGTTGTTTTCTCCCTAGTAATATTTTCTAAAAAACCAAACCTACTTCCTGTTTACACCAGCTTGTGAATAGAAACAGTGTGTTGTGTGTTCAGGTGTGTTTGTCTGACAACGACTCCTGTGAAGTTGTTTTGTGGGTTGTTTTTTTTTTTTAAATGAAGTTGTTTTGTGGGGTTTTTTTTAAGTTTATTTTTACTGCAGTGAATAAACACAAAAAGCCAGACGAAATCTGAATGGACATGTATGAATAAATGATTCCCTAATTTGACCTAATTCTCACTGAGCCCCAAATCTTAATTAATAAATGAATTCAATTCATTTAAATAAAGCCACTGAACACTGCGTGAAGGCCTTGTGATTATTTGCGTTGGAAACCTGCGGTTCTGGATGATGGTAGCAGCAGACACATGTGATTCAGTGATAGGGTTACCACTGTAGAAAAACATTTATTAAAATAAAATTCACCGTGTCGTTATATATCCATATCAGACCTGGGTTCAAACCAAAGGTCAGTAATGTGGTCGTGGTCTGTTCCAGCCGTGCGTTGGTCTGTTTTTGTCAGTATATTGTAACTCCTCTCCTGTGACTCTCATCCCCTTCATCCCTACTGAGAACATAAATCCTTACAGCAGCCATAATCAGTATTTTTAATACTAACAATGGATCATGTGGAAGTGGTCACTTGCAGCGACAAACACTGAAAGATTTATAACCTGAATCTGCAGAGTACTTTAGCATCTGTGAGCTCGTGCTCTTGATTTAATGGGCTGCATCTTCTACGTAGTTCGGCTTTTAGTGCAACGTCCAGCTGCAGCCGTTACAGCAGAGAGAAATAAAATAAAAATAAATCCGATGCACATTGCTGCTCTGAACTGCAAGGTCAAACAGACTGTATTAGAGCCTGGCAAGTGAACCACGCTGATGCTTTTAGCAGCCACAGGACCAGATATTTCAATCAGATGTTGTATTTTTTTTTATTCTAAGTGCTGTGAAAAATCTGAAATTCTGTTTATAGTATCAGTCATTCTTGCAGGTCATCGCAACTGCACAGATGTGGTTGGCTTTTCTAGGTTATGGGTCTCTGTTTAGTCTTTAATGTGGGCCAAACGGTGCAGTGGTGCTGGGATAAGGGTTGAATGAAGGGTAAGAATGAGGTTTAGGGCTGGATTAGTGCTCATGTGCCGTAGTTTGTTGTTGCATTTGTTCCTGTTTTACACTGTGAATGAATGGGTATTTTGATGTTTTTTTGCAGCATTTCACACTCTCAGCATAATCAACTGTGTTTTTTTCACCCTCATCAGCCTCGGGGAAATTGTTTTGTCAATAGTCCAGGAGTTACAGGAAGAAAAAAAAAAATCTATACGGACCCTGACAGCATTACAGACGGACACAAGTTTGTTTAGGTTCGAAATCTGTCTCTTTCAAACAGTATGGAAAAAAATGTATGATCAATAATTGTGATCGTCACGATTAATCATATTGAATCAACATTCCTGAACACGATAAGAAAGTTTTGTATGTTCTGAAACAAACATTGTATATTGATGAAACAATGTAGTTGTGGATTTTAGTCATTACATTCTGATGTTGCATTGTGTTGCATCTTGACAGTGGGTTATAGACCAGGGGTCACTAGCGTGGTGCCCCGGGGGCACCTGGTAGGCCCTGTTGACTACCAAAGGTGCCCCCGGGGTATGTTCCAAACAGTAAAACTTGTCAACAAGAGGGTCAAAAATTGTCATGTTACTGTGCTTTTTGAATCAGTTACACCTGCAGTGATGACCGAAAACGTATTATTTTTATGACATTGTTGAGAACGTCTGTATCAAACAGGTAGCTCTTCGTATTACTAAATATCCTCGAAGTCTCAGTTTCAAAAACGTTGGTGACCCCTGTTATAGACAGTGTCCAGACACTTCAGTGAAGTCCTCGAATACTCAACACAATATTAATCAGGCTAAAGTGCCTCACAGTCCATTTGACAATTGTGTCGGTCAGCTTGTCAGTCGGAGACTTATTTACTGCCCTGCACTCAGCTATTAGTAAATGGAATCACATCATGTCGTAACATCTTAAATAACACCAAGGAGAGCAGGAAAAAAACACACTGGTTTACGCTGGCCTTGTTTTCACACTGATGCTGATGTTAGCAGTTAGAAAACCCTCCTTCTCTGCAGAGTTATTTGATGCAGGAATTTCTACGCAGGTGTGAATGAGGCTTCATCGTCTTCACATGTTTTGGTAACTGTGTCAGTTCCTGATTGGCCTCCAGTCGCACAGCCAGGCTCCGCTCTTCTGCTCTAATGATTCCTTAAGATGTGACTGGTGGATCTCACATCCTGTCACACCTACTTCCCCCCCGCGGCCTTAGCTACTCTGCACACACACACACAGAAACACACACACGCACACACTGACGCACTGAGGCACATTTGGCTCCGTGCCCAGTAGGCCGGCCCTGCAGAGTCCCTCAGTCCCGTGAGAACAATGTGGTGGGGCGACGGTTTGATCTGTGGATGTGTTGAAGTTGAAACATGGACATAAAGGCTTAAAGTCTTACGCAGTGTATATTGAAACAGTGCAGGATGAATGGATTAGGCTCTGCCTCGTAATCCTCAACACAGTGGTTGCTACACTGTAAAGAAAAACAACTCTGAATCCCAAATATTCCAGCCTCATCCACAGAGATGCGTGGAGGTCCGGAGGTCTCAGCTCGGCTTAGTCCGATGTTAAGAGTTCAATGTCCTTTAGAGGTTCTTGATTTAGTGATTTCGGTTTCGGAAAGTCAACGTAATATTGCGTTCTCTCTTTAAGCCGCGTGTTCTGTGCTCGGCCTGAGCTTCTTTTCCTGGTGCTGGAGTGTAATTATAATCTGCTCTGACCCACATTGGTTATTAATCAAAAATTTTAAGATGTTGTAGAAGCTTGACCTTGGGTCTTGAAAGTAACTAATGGAAATCAGTGTGTGATGATGATGATGTAGTAGACGAGAGTGGCCCAGAAGGTTTGGGGTTTGATTACATCCAGCCCCAAACTTCCAGGGTGGGTTGGCTACCCATCGGACCACCCCTGATGAAGAGCCGAACGCTAGTCTCGTTTTCTAGACCAGTGGTTCTCAAACTGTGGTACGCGTACCACCAGTGGTACGTGAGTGCTCTCTAGTGGTACGTGGGGGAAAATTCATATTTTCACATTTACATTTTCAATGGAATAAATCTGAAACATACCATGCACAATTAATACAACATTTAAACATAAACATCTTTCTAAACATTTCTAAACCTCTCTCCTGTGGTGGAAGCTAACAGGGAAGGCCTGCGCTGCTGTATTCTAATGTTGGTCATCATGGTGGTACTCAGAGACCTCAATGTTTTCTCAGGTTTTTTTTCTCAGAAGAGTCTGACTCACGCCAAGGAGCCATAATGAGGCGCAAAAACGTCCTAAAAACCAACAGAAACTAAGGAAAGTGATTGTCTCACAATCCAATGTATGGTGTAGAACAGAACAGGCCAAGGTAAACAAAGCCGTCCTCAGCATATAACGCTGCTCGCCAACTACTTCCCATGCAAAACAACACTTTCAATCCTGTGTGTTGTAATGACAGAAGAAGACTTTCCCAAAAATGTACACATACATATATATATATAGTGTATATTATAAACTAACATAATTGAACCTTGTCATTGTCTATTCACTATTATTGTTTCTGTTGTCATCTTCTACCATTCAGTACTTCAGTCGAATGGTATTATTTTTGGTAATTATTTAATTAACAGGTACTTCAGTACTGTGTTGCTGAATGAACATTCTCCATTTACCAATCAAGACACACATGCAGCTGTTTATGATAGAGGCTTTTTATAGTGTATTGAGTGTTTATGAATGACAGTCATCAGAGTGTAGTAGATGTTTGTCTGTCTTTTGTAGTATTTTCTGAGATAGAGTTTTGACCGTGGCATAAGGTTAGAAAATGATTGTTACTGTTATTATTACTGTTTTATTTCATCATTTTTCCTAACATCTGAAATGTTATGATATGTGAAATATGTTACACCTTTAAACTTTTGTCTTTCATTTTAGTGAACATTTGGATTTTTCTTCAGACCTTAGTTCATCCTTGGTGTTTTTGGCTCCATTTTCAGTGTGGTGACATTGTGTGCTGGCAACTTTAAACTGCTCTAAATGAGTCTGGCCCTTTTACTTCCTCTGCTAAAGTCTTATTACTGGATGTCCTTGATTAATATTTGAAGAGTTCAGGTCTTCTGTTTGGTTCTTTCCATCTTTGTTATGTGGATCTATCTTTCTATCGTTTCCCATCGACAAGTTGATTTCGTCGACTGTGTAAAAGTACACAGACTCCTCTGGTAAACACATGAGTCAGTGCTATAAAAGTGTAATTGAAAGAATCAACCAGAGGTGGAGAGATAATTTGGCTGCTCACAGTCGGTGTAGAAACACAACACAAACACAAACAGGAAGTGCAGTTCTTCTGACTTTGCAGAACCACAACTTTAACTTCATGGACTTCCAAAGAAGCTGGGCTTTAGCGGAGAGTTTAACCACGGAGACTATGGATCCTGCCCGGATGGGGAGCGATGTTGAATCAAATGCTTCCGCTAGTAAATTCAGCGATTAATCGGAGTCACTGAATACGACTCCTGTCCCTGTAGGACACGGCCACTCCCGCTTTGGTGCTCAAGATGGAAGTGCAAAAGTGGAATCATTAGCAGTAGCATTCGGCTAACCGAGTAGCCAGTTAGCCGAATTAGCCTCTCGCGCAGGGTCAGGGGTAGCCTGGCGACTGCCATTGTTGTTACTGTGTGATGTTGAGCACGGAAAACACAGAAAATTTTGTCACTCTGCACAAATAAAGAAAATATTAAAAATGAAATTAACGTGACTTGCTGTGACCCCTGAACTCAATCTGTGTCTCCCTAGGGGGTCCCGTGCCCCACTTTAGGAACCACTGCACTAACATCCATCCATTCTCGTCACCTTATCATGCGTATATAAAATAGCTGATGATGTGCAACATTAGCATGCTAACCTTATGGATTTAGTGTCTGAAATTTGACATAATTATTAATACAAAATGATTAACCTGTTTAAAATAAAAAAAATTGAAATATAGTGATCCCATATTTGGGAAATTCTTGCATTAACAGCAGATATGTAGGCGCCAAGCATGTGGTTCCTCTGGGACTCGAACCCAGGACTCTCTGCTCCCGAGGCAGGCGGGCTAACCGCTACACTATGGAACTGTCTAATAAACTAATCATTTTGTGACCGTCACCTTATCATGCGTATATAAAATAGCTGATGATGTGCAACATTAGCATGCTAAAAGACAATATTTTATTCAAACACAAGGAAAACTAAAGTAGAAGCAGAACACCAGTCGACTGGTGGTCGTTTTTTCATGTTTGTTTCCATGTGGGCTGCACTCAGTGAATAAATCAACATTACATAACACTGTCTTTTCATCACTGACGTGTTTTTCACCACAGGCCGAAAATTCAGCTCTCATTTTGGCAAATGAGAGTCAGAGAGAGGCCTACGAGAGATGCCTGGACGAGGTGAGCATCGCGGTCTACATCGCACATCTGTCACGTAGAACCAGCAACAACTGCACAACAGCACAAAATACACAAGTCAGTGACGTTCTCCTGTTGTTGTTGTTGTCAGGTGGCTAACCACGTGGTCCAAGCTCTGCTCAACCAAAAGGTATTTACGTGATCACAGACTCCTTTTGGTGACATCACAGACCGTATTCCGTCAGTTGTTTCATTCATTGTCTGTCGCTGAGCAGGATCTGAGAGAGGAGTGCATCAAGCTGAAAATGTTGGTGTTTGACCTGGAGAGGCAGAACCGAGCGCTCTGTGAGCTTTTTCAACAGAAACTGCCCAACCACCCCGCTGCTAACTATCAGGTAATGGAGCGTCCACGGATTCAGGAATGATTCACTGTCACTAAGAAAGGATGAGCGTCGAGGCGGGCTCACGTTACGCCACTTTTTCCACAGTTGACGTAACGATGCTCGTCACTCGTTTTATGTTGCCTTTGATGTAACTATTTTTGGATCAAATGACCTGGATGACTAAAAGCCTACACAGACATATTTTTACATGGCAATATTTTTATAGGAGAGGTTCGTTTCTCATTTGTGACCAGGCATGTAGTAAAAGATTGAAGGTAAAGAACGTCACAGTGGTTACTGTTCTTTGTTCTGGTTCATGCGAGCGCTGCAATAATAACCAGCTACGATCAGGACAAGTAACACGTTATACTTTCAAAGGATTATGGAGTCGACAGAATCAGTTATTCTCAATTAATCTCTACAAATAAAAGTCAATTGTTTAGCAATTTTCTAAATCTTACATGGTGCACCTGTGAGTGTTCCAAAAGCCCAGATCTGTTTGGTTTTTTTTTTATGAACAGATGGAGCCACTGGTTTCTTTAGCCTCATTCTTTCAAACACTGCTGAGCCACTAATGGATGTCAGGCTTCTCACCTCTGCTCTACATTGTCTCAGCAGATGCAGAGACAATGTAGCTCCAGCTTGTCTGTGTATATAATAGCCCTGTGGTGTGTACAGTGGCATTGTAATTGCCCCATGAATCTCCTGTTACAGGTCCACGCAGGAGGACCCCTCCCTGACTACAATGCACAGCTGCACATCGACTCTGCCAAACAGGTGGAGTCTGCACAGACTGAAGCACAAGCCAAGGTGAACTTCACACAACCATCGAGGCTGAATCAGACGGGGGGAGGCGGGGATGGGGGGAAGGGTGTCCTGAGAGTCTCTGTTCACACTTGAGTGATACGTCACTCTACTGACATTAACAACGTTCTCCACCATTGTGTTTATTAAAAAAAGGCCATTGCTGCTAATCTGGGCTGCACTCACTTCCTGCAGCATTCACTCAAAGGTCTCCGTGAACGACATTGTTTGCTGTGTCAGCGCTGAATTGTTCGCTGATGAAGACCTTTCTTTTTCTATGCGCAGGGAAACGGCTACCGCACACAGCACTCCTCCCCGGGGCCTCACGGTCCCACCGCCTCCATGGAGGCGCTGTCCCCCTTCTTCAAGAAGAAAGCACACATCCTGGAGGTCCTGCGCAAGATGGAGGAGACGGACCCTCTCAAGTTCCACCCGTCCACCACCAGCTTGTCCTTCTGTGACTACAGCCAGGTGCTCATGTCCACGGAGGCCGTTCTGGCCAGCGCTGACCCTCTTCCATTACAATGCAAATCCCACCACTCACACTGCCGCTGCTCCTGCTCTGACACTGACACGCACCAACATGCAAATGGCGACGGAGCGGTGAAGTGCGAGGCAGGAAACACCTGCTGTTTACACTGCAAGAGGAGCTTGGAGGGTCCTCTGAAGCCGTGCAGCCACGTCTGTAGTCCCTCAAAGGTCGCCCAGAGCCACGCAGTATCTGCACCTGCTATTAGTGAATGTCACAGCAAGTCTGTCCCCCCGCCTAAACAATGCACCAAGAATGAAGCCCACCAGCAACCAGCCGGCCCCGCTGCTCACTCATCGCTCACTGAAGCGTCTGATCAGAGCCAGGAGGTGATGGAGGCGGAGAAGGAGCAGAGCGACGTGACTGAGAGTGGTGTCAGCGCCGCTGACCCTGAAGAGCTCACTGGTTTCTGTGCCACCACCCACCTGCCCAGCTCTGTGACGGAGGCGTCCCACTTTGATAACGACATGACAGACGACGTTCACAACATCACGGGGGTCTCTTCTGTCAACCCCAGTCTGAATGACCCCTCGTCTGTCCCTGAGAAGGACACCACAGTCCAGGAGGCCTCTTCTGTCAGGGCCAGCGCCTCCATCAGCCCCAGCTCCTCCTGCCTCGGTGACAAAACAGCTGCCATCAACTCCCCGTCCAAACTACTCAAATTCCTAAAGATTCCCGCCATCGGGGAGAAATCTCAGGCTCCTGCGACGTCCGCTGTGCGTCTGAGCCCGCAGCTGACACGCAGCTCTAGGATCCCCTGTCGCACGAACAACTACGAGGTGTACCACTCCCCCGTGCCCACACGCAGAGCCACCACCACAGAGCGCTGCAGACAGCCCCCTCCTCCACCCTCCAGGTCTGAGTCCTACCCCGCCACACATTCTGCCCCCACCTCCCCTCCCCAGGCTGAAGACTGCTCACCTCCTACTAAGGACATCAGCTACAGCAGCCTGTCTGCCCCTAAAGCCAGCGCTGGCTCAAAGATTTCTGCTTCCTCTTCTACATCCTCTTCCTCACCCAAAGCCTCTCATCGGGTTCCTCATTATGAAAATGTCTGCAACGTGTCCACAAACGCAAAACAGGAAGAACACATCCAGGGCCCTGAGAAGAGAACGACTCTTCCCTGTCAGACGAAGCCTAGTGGAGGGGAGAGGAAACTGGTGAAGTCATTACCAGAGAGCTCCATGAATCCTCCTCTGTCTCCTCCTGATCGGAAGCAGTCGTCCTCGTCCACGTCGGAGTCCGAATCAGATGAAGGGGATTCGGACAGTCCAGTGTGGGTCAATCACTCCAGCCTGGCCAACTCGTCTGTCGTCAGTAATGCTCAGGTCAGAATCAGGGAAAAACCAGAGACTGACAAAAGAGAGGTCACCGTGCAGAGGTCTGAGGTCTCTCAGGCACCACCTCCGCCTCCAGCCAGAAGGAGTGACTCCTCATCCATCCCTAAGAGACCAGCGGCAGGTGCAGTAAGACCCCAGGCCGACTCCAGCCACCATGCTTTCAAAGACAGGTTGGCTGCACTGGGAAAACTGAGGAGCTCAGAGGATTTACAGGTCGGTCTGAAACCCGTGGACGCAGCAAATGAAGGTGCCTTTGGGGAGGAGAGGAGTAAGACAGTGGAGAGGCCCCTGGAACTTCAGAAGGAGGAGCAGAGACACTCAAAATACACAGACTCCCTGGATAGTAAACCTAAAAGCGTCGGTGGAGGGTTGAAGCATCCCAGCTCCTCTCAACTTTACGAACAGGCTTTAAAATCCCAGTCTTCTGCTGCGGTGGTCAAACAGGAGCTCTGTATGGTCAGGCCTGAAGGCTCCAAGAGCAAAATAGGTCTGCCGTCCCCCAACACAGACGCTCCACAGGTACTTCGCAACAACATCAAGTGTCCTGGCTCCCTAAATCTTGCCTATAATGTCAAACCAAGTTCTCACAACAGCAGCAGCCCCAACAAGATCCCTCCAAAGTCCCCGTCCAAACCTTGTCAGGGTCCATCTGTTCACAGAGGAGGGAAGCCCGCGGAGGCTCCGCGTTACTCGTCCAAATCAGAAGAGAGGAACAAAATCAGCGGGAAAGGGAAAAAGAATCCGACATATGGAGACAGTCTCCCACCTCCTCCACCAAGACCTCCAACATCCGAGGTGGACAAAAGCTCAGACAGCGTCCAGCCTCAGCCCGTGCCCAGTCCACAGTCGGCCATCGAGCAGAAGGTGATGAAGGGGATCGAGGAGAACATGCTAAAGCTCCAGGAGCAGGATAAAGTGGGGCAGGGCAGTGAGGTCAAGCAGAAGGCCTCCAATGGCATCGCCAGCTGGTTCGGCCTGAAGAAGAGTAAGCTGCCGGCGCTGAGCAGGAACGCCACCAAAACAAAGGACGAGAAGAAGGAGTGGAAGATTAACATCCCATCGGTGGGCAGGGACTCCGTGAAAGTGGCCTCCAGGTGTAAAGAAGGTGTGGAGGGTCTGAACATCTCCACCCTGATGGAAAAGGCCGAGGGTCTGAGGAGGGCTCTGGAGGCAGGCCGAGGACACTCCTGTGAGGTGGTGATGGACCAGGCTCAGGGACAGCTGGCCGTCATGTACAGAGGAGCTCGCTCTGACAACTTCATGCAGCAGCTGCTGAACAGGTGAGCACTCGAGCAGAGGATTCTTAAAGAGACAGTAACAACGTGGAGGTGTAAAGAACTGCTGTGACCTTTTAGGAACCTCTCTAATTAGGTGGGAATCGAACAGGAAATCCATGTCGTGCACTTCTTTGGGAAGTGTATTACTGCCATTACACAACGTGTAATGAGTAATTACTACTAGAGCCACAACAAGGATGCTGATAGGTCACATTTTAGAACAGGACAAGTTACCAGTCATTTTTTGACTGTGCCAACAGTAACACTCAATGTGTGTGGTTTTCTTTAACGGCAGAGTGGACGGGAAGGATATGATCAGTGTTCCCCAGCGCCGGCTCTCGTTTGACTGCAAGACTTCGAAATCAGTGTTTTCTCAGCAGAGCGACGTCATCAGTCACAACAGCAGTCGAGACGATATGGAGAAGGTACGGCAGATAATAAACCTCTGTGAATTCCTTCCTTAAAAAAAACAAACAGCTGGTGTTCACAGGGGCAGTGGTGGCTTAGTGGTTACAGCTGAAACTCCTAGGCCTTCATTTACATGGACAGTAATGTTTTATCATTAATGATTAACTCCTGTGACGTCTTCACCGTTCACTCTCTCTCTCATGTCGTCGTGTAATTCTATACTTGTTACTTGTAGCTTCATATAAGCACAGATGGAGACACTGTTTGATCTTGAAGTGGACCCTAAGTGTTAGCAACTGCTACTCAGGATAGAGCAACTGTGAAGGAGACACAGTGAAGTCCAGAGTCTAGTGTAGGGGGGAAAAAAACACACCTGAATTTGTCTTACAAGAGTCTGGATTTACAGGATGTTTCTGTTTTCTCTAATGTTTTGTTTTTCACGCAGGGACCAGAGAGAATCAGGAAGATCACGTCGGACGAAAACCTGGTGGATTCAGTTCACTCTCAGCACTTTGCAGGTGAGAAGAGTTTGTCTGAGGATTTAGTATTTTTACATGAAGTCGTTGAACTTTCACAACCAGTACTGATGTGCAGACCTCAGTATCTCAGGGTTTGGTTGTTTGTTTTAACGAACAAACACATCCTGTTATTTCCATACGGGGCATACATTAGTGCACAGCTTCATTTCCATATCAGATGGTGAAGAAACAGGACCAGGTCTCTGAGGGAAATCAGCTCTGATCCAGTTTTTACCAAAGGAGAATTCAGCTGCTGCAGCTACGCTGTTGCTTTGATCATTTCATTAGTCAAGCAAATTAAAAAAAAATTCACATGGCTTAATTGCTTTCTGCTTCATTGATTATTCAAATTCTAATCGTTACTCTTCTAATTCTTTCCTCTCCAGGTTCCGGTGCTTCCACCTACACCCTGGACAGTGGCATTGGCACGTTCCCCCTGCCTGACTGCAGCAGCGGCGCGACAGGAAGGGGGCTCTCCAGAGCAAGGGCCGGCGGGGAGCACCACTCCTCGGGCTCCCCGGGTAGGGCTGGGAGACGGGCCCGGACCCTGGACAGAGAGCTGACGTCACAGGAGGAGTGCTACTCACAACACAAACAGCTGATTCCCACCATACAGTACAGCGGCTCCATGATGGAGGGAAGAAGCTCCGCCAGCGTCATTCACGAAGGTGATGAGAAACTCCGTCAACACAGAACTAACAACACGAGTAAAAACACAGCAGAGTAAAAACACAGCGATTTTCAACTATAATAGAACCAAACAGAGATTTTATTTTTATTTTTACTATAATAGAACCAAACAGATGCTACACTGTGTCACAACGAGGTTTGAACCCAATCCCTCTGTATGTTTCAGATTTATTTAATTGAAAAGGTAAATGTGAAAATGTGAATTTTCCCCACATACCACTAGAGGGCGCTTGCGTACCACTGGTGCTACGCTAACCACAGTTTGAGAATCACTGCTCTAGTTTATACCCACAGTCCAACACAGTCCAAGGTTTAATGTTTACTTGGCCCTGAGTTGGACAATAAACCAGCTTCGTCTAAAAAACGCTTCCCAAACGTTCTCTGCACCCAAAGATTGTAGCTGTCCCTCCCACTGAGGCTCCACTTGGAAAAAACAACAGCTGTTGCTTCAAAACACTGTATTTAAAATGATACAGAACAAAAAAAACTGTGTCTAAACTCTGTCTTGCCGTGTTTCCTCCAAAGTCACGAACCGAGCTCTGACAGAGAGAAGCACCACTCGACTGTGTTGTTGTTAAGCTTCTGTATCGTCAGCTGCTGCAGCAGTTGGACGTGAGCAGCGCAGGAAATGCCAGAGTTTGTATATAAATAAGTAGATCTGCACAAACTGCAATATTTCTCCAAAGAGCCGTGACTCAGAGATCCTGACGTCAGCCCTCCTGACTTTTAGTACTTCAATTCATGAAATACTTTCAACGACATCCGCTACTTCATCCATATTAAGGAGTAAAACCCGAGACTGTTTCCTGTCCAGTGTTGTTACTCAGCCTGACAGACCAACTCACATCTGTCCTCGTTTACGTCTCTTTTTAGACAAAGAAGTTCATGGAGCCAACATGTTTTCTCCTCGCACAAAGACGTGGACTTTCCCCAACCTCAAGACTCCGTCAGGACCTGCAGAGGTCTACCTGGCAGTGGAGGAGGAGGAGGAGGAGACGGTGTCATTTGGGTCACCGTTCAGAGGGGTAGGAGGTTTAACCTTCCTCTTTAAATTATAACGTAAACACAACATTTTAGCCTCGAGGTGCTAAAAATAATGAAGGGGAGTAAAAAAGATCATTTCCCCCAACTGGCCAGTAGGGGGCACTTTTTCACATTTGTACACCATATTCAGTAATTGTAGTACTGATGCTTTGTTTTCTAATGTTTAAATGGGCATGATCTGATTTTCATCCGTGGACGTTTGCGTTTGGTCACGTCTACGTTTTTTGTGAGATCAGATGTGTTGCACGCGATAACGCATTTAACCCAAACTTTGTCCTCCTCAGGGCATGAAGTCCAGCGGACCGTCCTCCAGCCGTATGGTTGACCCCGGCAGCTTGCCAGTCCCGGCACAAACGGGAATGAACCGCAGGGGAAAGAACCGCACTCCGAGCGTCCCCGAGATGAGCCGTGAGGCCGGGCTGGAGCTTCTCAGGGAGCGGCCGGAGGAAGCGCTGTCTCCCAGCCGCCCTCAGGTCCTGGAGACTCCGGAGTCTCTGAGCGACTCTCTGTACGACAGTCTGTCGTCCTGCGGCAGCCAAGGATGATCCTCGGAGAGCACTGAGGAGATCAGACTGACGACAAACCTCAGCAGCCCTCCGAACTCAGATCTCTGCTGGTCGCCGGACGCACTGACACCGCAGGAGCTGCTGCCACCTCGGAGGAACGGAGACTGAGTCCTGTGGACGTCCACAAAGATCTCACCAGTCGTTTCTGATGCAACTGGACATAAGACTTCTGCTCAGGATTTCCAATAAACGTGAAGCCAAAACCCACACCATGACAAGTTGTTTGACTTTTCCTCCATCAGACTGCGCTGTGGAGCTTCCTGCGAGACGCAGGACAATGAGACGCATGGATGTGATGACGATTAGCACAAACTGCAGCCTGTGTTTGTTTTTCTTTCATCCTGGCAGATGGAACTTTGTTGTACATGCAAGGGGGGGGGGCAAGGGGGAGCTGACCAGTTTGATACCTGAAGTACTGTATCAATACTTCCATTCTGTTCTCCATCATTTCATCACATCATCTATTTAAGAAAAAAAACAACTCAGAAAAAAAAAAAAAGAATGTTCATGTCAGTGATCCTTACCCTTCACGCATCACAATTAAATATAAAAACAACGTCGCTGTCATGTTGATATTGTTTTGTCTGTTTTGAGTCATGCTACATTTAAAGGTAATATATACCAGCAATAATGACATAGAGAAGAGAAATGGCTACATTATTCAGTGGATATGTATTTCTAATATTTATTTATTTTAAGTGTACATCACTTGCTGTCATTTTTTTTTTGTAATCTCTGTGAATATTTGGCTCCTGGCCTGTAGATTTCCATCATCCCCTGGTATTTCAACTTCTCTGTTGCTGTTTGTTCTTTAGTCACTAGAGGTCGGATGAACCTACTGCCGTTTTTTCAACTTTCTAATTAAAATCGTTTCATTTACTGCTGTTGCTTTTTAGTCGTCGATTCGAGAACGCTCGTCACAAACAGCCGGAGCAAAGCACCGTCCCGTCCATCAGGAAACTATCTGACCGTTACTATGACAGTTCACATGCTTGCACTCCACGTAACCTGTGTTGATTTGGTCAACTAATAATTTCCGTCGAACGCTTAGTGAACCCAGACTAAAAACTCTTTGCTTACGAAGATTACACGTAACCCTCATTTCTTTCAAATGTCATAAAGAGAAAATGTAGTTTGGTTTTTCACATGACCTTTGGGGTCTCGAAGGGACAAAGAGAAGACTTTCAGTGTTTCCACTAACAAATGTAATTCTATTTGTTAAACTCATTTAGAGTCATTTTATAAAGTTCCCACCGAGGAAAGGTCTAATCAGGGTCAGTCTTTTAAATACAATTTAACATATGTGGGTCATGAGGATAGGGGCAGGTCAGTCAACCACAACAGGTCAACATTTTGTCTTTTTGAAGTCCATGGATTTGAGGGAAGACGGTACAATCAAAATTAATTTTATAATTAGTTTATTTTGACAGTTTAAATGAATAAGAATGTAGGTCACAGCACAAGAAAAAAAACAATCTACCATTAAAGACAAAAAGTCAAAGTAACGCTACACAATCAAAACAACAAACAAGGCAGCCATGAACTGAACCACCATGGTTCTCATGGATAGTCTTTGACGTGGACTAAAGGTCACTGATGAAATAACTACAAAGGCTTGATCACAAACCAGATCTTCATCCATTCTGTTCTAAAGTGAACAAAAAGAAAGAAAATGTTGTACCATGGAGGGACCCCAGGTCCCAAAATCAGATGGATCCAGGTCTGATTTTGGAAACTGCAGCCATGGTGCAACACTCAGTAAGAATTACTAACTGGATTACTTTAAGAAGAAGAGTGAGGACAGTAGTGAAGGAGGTTAGTGAAGTGTAGTTATTGTGAAAGAAATCCAGTTCATTAAATTCTGACTGATTTAAACTTAAAACAAAAATAAATCTGGGATCAAGCGTGTAGTTTAACTCATCAGTGACCAAAGAACAAATCTTGGAAAATCCATGAAATGTCATGCTGATTAGTAAATGGTCAACCTTATCAGTAGAAAAAATTTAATTAAATAATAAAATAAAATCCATATACAGCTGAGCAGGGATTAGAATGGGACCTGCCGTCAGCTGTGGTGAGTCTGGGTCATGGGGTCAGTACCTGGACATGAATGAATCAAATGAGTTTCTATACAACAACAAACCAACCACAACAGGATTTAGTAGAAGTTACAACCTTAAGACACCCAGTAGAACGGAGGCAGGTCTGGAGTAACTTGGCTGCAGTGACTTGACCAGGGTGGAGCCTCTTCAAGTACCACAGCATGACTACGTCCAGTCAACACCTGGACCTAGTGAGGGGGAGTATCCTGAAAGAATCAAACATCAGTCCCTTTGGCAGAGACACAGAATGACATGAGATAGAACAGCATCATTGAGGACTAGCTCACATGTAGCCCACGTCAGCTCTGGGTTTCATCTAGATCGTCTGCTGCGTAGTCTTGGTCTTCAGTGACAGAGATGGCTCCTGTACTGGGTGAAATATTCTGACAGGAAAAAACCCCAGATGTGTTACAGTGGCAGAGAGACTGGACAGAATCAATGTGAAGGACCAACCTGAAGACATCCTGTGTTTGAGAAGACCTCGCTTCCAATGACTCAGTCCACCTGGGCCACTTCCACCCTACAGTCCGGGACACCAGAGTTCCTGAACTTCTATGGATCCAACACCTCAGGGTAAACACCATGGAGTCTTACCTGTTTCATTGACTGATCTTACCACCTTCAGCCAATCAGGACAGCTTGGGTGACACCACCACCAACCCTGATCAACACCATTAACCCAGGTTAAACACCAGAATAATGAATACATTTTCTAGATAATTTGAAGTTGTAAATATTAACTTAATCTTCACCAAGTCCTGGCTTGTCTCTTAGTCAAGTACATTTTCTATTAAAGAACCTAAACGCGCAACCTAACCTGTATCCCTACCTGATTACATCAGCATATTTATAACATTTGCTACCTTAGCCCTGCAAATAGAGTAAAGCGAAGAATCTAGCAGAGGACAATAGTCCCCTACCGGGAGGCCTCCCAGCTACGCCGACTAAATGCCACAGAAGGGCAGACTCGTCTTTAACAGGAAACGGACTTGGCAGACGGAGACAAGCCAAACTGATTAATGATATTAAGGACAATTTAAGCCTAAATATTGTCAGTTGGACAGGACTGGTGAGTTTAAATTTGATAAGGGAAATTTAACATTTGAAACAATATCTATGAGCTGAATAATAATTTAAATCCAACATCTGAAATGTCTTACCTCAAGCAAAGACACTTAATTAACTGTATAGTATACTCGTCATATAAATAACCCCTCCACCGACCAAATTTTACTCTGGTCAACACACTAAAATATTAGCAGATATTCAACTAGACTAACACCCCGACAAGCACTCAACCACACTATTAAACCAGGGAAACATGCAGATTATGATGTTCACAGGGTCATGCAAACTAGGAAGACCAGGGGTTGACAACAGCCCAAAGACCCACAGTACAGACAGTGAAGGCCACTTGCAGTGAGAACTCAAACAAGCAAAAAGCAAATGACTATACATCTACAAAAGTCTAACGTACTAACAAGTATACATTTACAAAATGTACAAATACATACATGAATTTACATTTACAACATGTATAAATACATTGAAGATACATTTACAAAAAGGCACAAATACAAAGATGCATAGATACACATTTACAAAATGTACAAATACATACATGGAAAATACATGAATACACATTTATAAAATGTACAAATACATACATGGAAAATACATGAATATACATTTACAAAATACACGAACACACACAACCTTGAGTCCTGGATGGCCCTGTTGTTGTAGATGGAGCTGGAATTCAGGTCCTCTGGACTGGAGAGCAGGAAAATGATGAGCAACCGAAACATCCAAAACCATGAAGGAAGACAAGGACATCCAAACTCGTAGAAAAATTAACTCACGTCTAAAAATCGTGGAAAATTAGCGCAACGTCCAATATCGTAGAGAATGAGCGCAACGTCCAGTATCGTTGAAAATGAGCGCAACGTCCAATATCGCTACAAATGAGTGCAGCATCGAAATTCGTAGAAATTAGCGCAACGTCCAAACTCGTGACCGCAAACGGGACGTCAAAATTGATGACTGTTGCAATTAAATAAACTGCCAGTGAACTCTAAATTAAAACTAATTAGAGACTAGACCACTTTGGTAAATGAACAGGTAGCCATAGCAGCCAAGCGGAAGCCCCACAATATCACTGAACCCATTCCTATTAGTCAGTCTTTTGACTTTTTGTTATACTATGGTCAATACGTTCAACCACAGACATCCAGCAAGGCACGGCGGCCTGACAGAGCACAGCAGCGACACAGCGGCCGCACAGAATAAATTTTTAAAAAACCAAGCACCTTACTTTGTTGAAGATCTTCAGGACGATTGATCTGGAAAAAAAAAGAAAGAAAAAAAAAGTCATGTTAAGTACTGAGGTTTTGGTGTGAGCACAACATTTTTCATTATTTTATTATTAAATAGAAAACCAGAGTTTGACTCCACTAATCACTCACCTTTTTTTCAGTCTTTCAATTTTAAAAGTGTTCTTTGATGCTGGACAACTTCAGCCTGGTCTCCATGTGCAGAAATCTCAACATATCTGTTAATTTCAAACATTGTTGATTACAAGTTTGATAAAATAAGATTTTTTAAAAAAACAGTTTTTTTTCTTAGAAATTCACTCTAGAAGACACTGGAGCTGGAGTTTAAACACTAAAATGGTAAAACAAATCTCCAAACAAATTCTGACGTGGGTCAGCCATTTTACAATTTCTTTTAACCAAAGCTGACGAAAACGGGTTTCTTCCACTATTAAGTGAAGTCTAAGCTATTTAAGCTAAGACTAATATACCGACTCAAAATACCAGAAGTAGGGAAGAGAAAGCTAAAAGCCATTTACCTTTCTATCGTTGCCATTCATCCGGACCAGGTCGCGCTGCCATTAAGGGATAAATCCGTTCAGCTGTGGCTTTTAAAGCACGTGGCGAACTTTTCGGGCGTCTGACGTCACACCTCGCTGCCATTTTAAGTTTTTCTTTCTTTTTTTTTTTTTAAACAACAATGATTGGCCCCTGTGGGGCGAGGCGATTGCTGCAGTGGTTTGTTTTATTTTGTGCAGGTGTGTTTCTTCCTCTTCCCGCTCATGTCTGTACTTTTGCAAACAGCGTTTTCGCTTCTGAGGATGTGGTAGAGTTTTAAAGGTAGCCGACATTTTTAAAAGGCGGGAGTTTTGTGAGCAGCGTCGGTGTGTGTGGCGTCTGTCTCTAGATGACCGTGACAGCACTACTGGCAGACGCAGACACATTGCGTAGATCCCGCCGCGACGACGTTTGCTGTCCTTAGTATTGCCTATATTTTATTTTCATCATTATTATTAGAATGAATGTTGATATCTATTACGTGTTTATTGGACATTTATGGAAATACAGTACCGAACAAATCGATATGGGACGCAACATATTTAATTGCCAAATAAATGACAGGTGGAAACCCTAGCTACTGCTCTGTTCTTGAACCAGCACTAGCAGAGCTAGTGTGGCTACTTGTAGTAGCAACGCTAACGTCGCAAAACAGCGCAGGGGAAAGCGTAGCTGCGCCACAATGAAGAAAATAAAATTAGGTCAGTAGTAACATTATTATTTATCAATTAACTTGACTTTTATATTAAAGGGGGCGGGGCTCTCCCTCGGCGTAATGGTAGTGGAAACACTGATTTCTGCATGTCAGCGTGGGGAACTCATAAGTTGTCAATGTCTAACTGCAAATGTATTAATAGATGTTTAATAAAAGCAGCAAAATGTCGTCAACTGAATCCACTGATGATTGCTGGATTTCTTTGTAGTAAATATTTTTACACACACCACATATACACAATATATAAAACACAGAAGTCCTTACGTTCAACACATTTATTTGAGCAAATGTATCAAAGTATTAGTTTCAATTTTACATCGATAAAATAAATTTTTCACAGTACACACTTTCAACAAAAATGCATCAATGCCAAATTACTATTGGCAAACTCATTTCTGGACAAATAATAATTGGAGACTTTGTGAAGGGAAGTTTAATGTGTTAAATAACTGTTTGGTCTCCTCTTGATACGATTTCTTTTCTTTTTCTACTGCTGCTGTTGCTACTTAATCCAAATGTCAAAAATCCAGAGACTATGTTTGCATATTGTGGGTTTTCTCTGTTTGTCAGCTTTACCAAAATGTTACTTTCTTATCCTAAATGTTGCACACACACAACTGAATAAACATGGGAGTAAAATAACCTATTGATCAGGTATTACTAGGTGACAAATAAACATATTTAAATCAGGAAAAAAAAAAAATACACATCTTTAGCTTCAACCACGATCACTTCCAAAAGCTCACGACCCACTACAAAATGAACCTATCAAGTCATTAAATTATGGCACTAAATAACAACAATAGAAAAGTTTTCATTAAGTGCTGCTCAGCCTAAACCTTCATAGAGCTATGCCTCCCTCTAGAGGCTAAGCAGGATCACTGCAGCTTAAGTCTATTCTCCATTCACAGCCATGGATGGGATGAGTATTAGTTTACCAGCAAACTTACATTCAATATTGGTGTAAGTTTGAAGAAGAAATCAAAGTAATTTCAGTATTATAAGACCACAGAGGAGTTAATCAAAAAATGAAGACAGACAGTGAAAAGCACCAAGTGCGTCGCAATTTGTGCCTTTTCTGACAATTGGTTTCCAAACAATGCTTACTTCTTATCCTTCTTCTTTTCCTGAAAAAAGAAAAAGATTGTCAGATGTCAACTTTTGAAAACTGCCTCATCACATTGTTTTAAAATGGAATTGCCTGAGTCACAAATGTAAATTATGTGTTTGTTTATCCTTTTTAATTCAACACAGACCTTGTCGTTCATAGCAAGAATGATCATCAGTTTCCTGAAGATGGTGATGAAGTCCAGGAACAGATCCACACAGTGCCTTAAAACAAATGATACAAATTGATTCAGAACTGTATCTGTTGTTGTTAAGTCATCTAAGAGTTAGTTCAGGAATGTTACTTCACAGATAAATATGCAGTAAATCCTCACCAGACGTAGTCTTTGTCTCCATTCTCTGCTTTCTCGATGATGAGCTGAGTGTCAAACAGGACGAAGCCACACATGATGAGGAGTCCCAGGTACATACGAGCCTGGCAGGAAATCAAAAAACACAAAGCATCACAGTATGTCTTTCACACACTCACTCTCACACACACACATATATACATATTAACAAAGACTAAAACAAAACGTCCACATCCAGTAAATGTTTAAATACCTGGAACAACATCACAGATCCAAAGAACATGTTCATCAGGGACATGACTGTCAACAGGGTCAGAGCAGACATCAGAGTACCTGCAAAAACAACACCACCACAAGAACATATTTTAAAACTTGAAATATGTACTACAGCAGCCACCAGTGGTGAAGATGGTCATTGCACTCCGATTTAACACCACCCGCATCCAAATTCATCATCACTATGGAAGAACTGGACATGGGAATGGTTGCTGTGATGAACTGGTTCTCCAACTTCAGACATGAAGATATTAATATGTAGTTGCCCATAAATCTTTGTGATTTTAGGGGTTTAACAATCACTTCAAGAAATTAAGTTCCTTTTTAAAAATTTTTTTGAAGGGCTTTTACAGTTTCAATCACGTTATTGCTGCATCAACTGAACGCTGTAAAATGACATCCTGTTTGTAGGAAAAAAAGATGATAACGCAGGACTGATATGGTTGGACTTTGTGCGAGTTACAGCTGAACCCTCCAACAGAAACCTGTGAGCTGACACAATTATGAAGCATATGGAACACACCTGGCCAGTATATCAGTAAAGGTGAACCAAATAGTCTTTACCTCCAAGGAACAGGTAGCTTCTTCGTTTGGCGTAGAGAGCACTCAGAGTGAAGCAAATGAAAATCATGGAGGTTCCCATGAAAGCAGTCACAATGATGCTGAGAAGAAAGAAATCAGTAACAACTGTCAAATTTAACAAAAAAAAAAACAAAAAACAAAAAAACAAACAAATGAAGCAGCTACAGTTGTGTCATGTTATTTTTCACAGTCGCACAGTTTTGCAGTTTGTGGTTGTAAAACATTTCTTTATTCACACAGCTGCTAGTTTGTTGTGTAATGAGTAACTTTTCACATACCTGGGGTTGACGGCGATGACAAAGTCCAGTGTGGGGCCAAGGCCAACACCTGCAGACAAAGACAGCTCTGTTCACGTGCACAGTTACCACTGTACTGACGTTATATCACAACCTGACATTAAGCTAATTGTTGAGAATCAATTTAATCTGTTCTAATTTCTTCAACTAAATTTAATATGATGAGACTTTTACTGACTAAGAGTTAAAGGCCATTGTCAGAACAGAACAGAACAAAAACACTTAAAGCTAATGTACACTAGGGGGGATTTAAAAAACACTTGAAGCTAATGTACACTAGGGGGGATTTAAACCAGTGGTCTCAAACTCTCGGCCCGGGGACCACTTGTGGCCATCAAAGTTCTCACATTTGGCCCGTGATGATACATTTAAAAATGGTTTAAATTGAACAAAAACATATTTTTCTAAAATATCCATGGCCCTCAGCTCATTTGAGTTTGCGACCCCTGATTATAAAAGTTATAACTTCAGATTACCAGTGAAGAAGGCGAATCCAGCCAGGATGGCCAGTCTCTTCTTCTCAGTCTCTAAGTTGTGTGGAGTCATAGCCAACCAGATCATCAAGCCCAGTGAGACCAGCACAGACAGCAGCCCACCCTGAGAACAAATCAACAAGGTGAGACTGATTGTCCCCTGGTGTCCATGTTTCATCCACAGACTCGGGGAGGGTGGGAACAGAGTTCATGTCTTCACAGCTGCACAGTCTCTTTATACTCTGGCATGTTTTACATTTTATGTTGCAGCAGCCCATTGTTAAATTTGCCTCAATATGATCTATGTAAGAGGCAACATATAGGTGGACTGCCCTTCCATCCGGACCTGAATTGTAACTGATGAAATAATGACATTTGTTTCTATTTCAAGGGGCAGTTTCTCTACTGAAAAATGCCGCATCCCACATCTAATGTAATGTTAGTTAGTACATTAGCATAGACGTGCATTCAGACAGAGAGACTCAACTGTTGGCAAGTGCCACAGATGGGGAACAGAGGGGAGGAATTAATACAACAGCCTGGTTCTCTATTTTTAAACCAACATGATCAGTTTGACGCAGCAGCATTGTCTCTATAAGTTTCTGGGTTTTCTCCAGTTAAAATCTAAATACATTTCTTTATCTGAGATTTGAGCTGTAAGGTATAGCTGATAGGACACCTCATGACAGCCTTCATGTCTCCTATCTAACATTACTGTCAATTATCATGGTTTCCTGTTGGACTTGAACTTCTTGTTGTATTTGTTGGAACATACTAATTTGCATTTTTACCCTGGTTGTGAAAATACTGACAATAGTCAACAGGAGACTATTCAGGTTCCAGTTACTTTAGTTCCTGGGAAATGCTTAAAGCGACCACTCAGTCTTCATTAGTTCTTAGATATAGCCCACTATAACTGACTAATGACTAATTTAATGTTTAAATTGCACCCGATGCAGATACTCTTTGGAATGTCATCATCATTACCTGAAGGAGCCTTGTGACAACATGGACGTAGGATCCAGCCGCTGCCACAAACATACAAACTGCCAGGCTGGAGTAGACATTCTTCAGGTGAACCTGAGTGGAGTGAGATCTGCAGACAAAGATTGGAAAAGAATATTGAAGTAAAACATACATGTGATGTAACATCTTACTTGCATTACACCAGAGTCAGGTGTTCGCCAACTTACATTTGGGAGAACTTAAGGAGGGCGTCAATGTTGATGTTGCGGTCGAACACATTCATGGCAACAGGAAGTTAGATCTGATGATAAGTTTGTTAAGCAGAAACACAAAGTATTACATCCCAGCCACATGAACAGAGTCTTGACCGGCAGTTGACCCACATTTTCATACTGAATACTGTAGACTATAATTTATCCACAAATCTCAGGCATAATCTCTGTATTCCAGGAGATAAAGAATGAATAACAATTCCTGGCAAGTTTATGTGTTAAAATGTGAACCCCTTTAAAGAAAAATACAAGTCTATCTGTTGAATGATACATTGAAGTACCTTTTGGATTCACTTTAGATTTTCACTGGCTGGTACAATAAAGAGATTAAAGGGATTTAGTACGCGTGTGCGTATGTGAGTGTGTGATTCTTAGTGCGAAGCTTGAATGACTAAACCCAATAACCACATTAACCTGTTCACCAATTGTGAACAGGTTAAAAGTACAAAAGAGTTGGGTAATAATGTAAGACTAATGAATGAATTCTCTGTACATTCCTGTACTCAAAAGTACTCACCAAATAGTACAATACTATAAGAAGCAGTTATAACATGCAGTAATGAAAGACACAAATACACAGTTAAAGAAGGGATTTTAGACAAACCTATCTGAAATTATTTCACCTATCTGAAAGTATTTAGTGAAGTTGACACAACAGTAAGACAAACATCTTATTAATCATTTATAGAAGCAGCCTACCATAGTTGACATTTTAACTTAATTCAAACCAATACCTGAATTAGGTTTCTTTTAGGCCTTTAAAAGTACTCTACGTATTCTACTTTTCTGCTTAAGTGTTTTATATAAAATAGTTTAGGAAGTCAGTAAGTGTTTTATCACGTTCATCACAGTACTTTAATTCAATTCTTAATTCTAAACTAAGGCAGAAATTTATATTAAATAAGTATTATTTAAATTCTAGTCAGTATTATCTTAATTTCTAGTCAGAAACGGCACCAAATGCAACTTTTGGGATTTGTGTTCTATTAATTTGTGCTTAGGAGGCACATTATGTGGCGACTCAAACGAAACACTGGCTTAGTTAAACAACAGGTGTTAGAAAATATTATTAATCGGACGCAGAAAACTCGTGTGTGTTTAAACTGTTGTTTTGGAAACAGACAAGTAAACAATAACCACAATCGCAAAGTTAACGGCGACGTTTGACGCATCAGAAATATCACGTTAGCTCCCCAGTTAGCATTTAATGACGGCCTGTTCTGCTCTATTTCTACTCGTTTCACAACACTGTTCTGAAACAAGAATGACTATATGTGTCTCATTATAACATAAATACCGAGCACAGAGCTAAAATATAGATTCATATGAAAAAAAACTTACCCTTTCTTAGTTTCAAATTGGTAGATAACCTGACTAGGTTGATTTTTCTAAATAAAGCTGTACGTGTTCGTCAGCACTCACAGGCCATTTGACGTCACCACGAAACGCCCATGAAATGACGACACTCACTGAAATTCTTTAATCTTCTTTCCTAAACTGTCTAACCTTTGAAGAACAAAGATACATGTTTTTCCCTTGTTCAAATGTTCATTAAATTTAGCGAAATTTAACACATGTAATTTATATTTACTTTTGTTCTCAATTCACATCAATTTATTAGAATGCAAATTCGTCTAAACCTGGTTTTATTATTTGGGGACAAAAAAGCGTTTTCACCGTCAAATTAAATCCCATTTCTTTAAACATAAACATACTTGGATTTTCGCACAAAAATGTCAGGTAAGATTAAATAAAAATCCTACGTTTAATTCCTGTTTTTCACTCACAGCGATGGTTTGGTCCTCTGGTGAGGTTTGCAGAAACAATACAAATTGTTGTGTGGTAATAAATATGTTCATATGCGTTTGCGTATAACATGCAAATATACTTCTGTATTCTTTGATCAGGTTGTATATTTTTACCTAATGCACAGTTTAATGAAATAATATGTCGTTTCTTGCCGTTATATGGTTAAAAATTTACATTCGACTGGAACTTTTTGATGTGTTGGTTAATACTATGATTATTAATAATGCCTTGGTGTGGCTGATAGGGAGTCATACTACTGCACTTCCGCTTCCAATGGATGCTGCATGTACGGATGATATAAAAATAAGCCATAGCGAAACTGCGAATGTTATATTTAAATGATAACCACCATACACGTACAAACACAAACTGCTATAAACCAACTTCCTGGTGTCACCGGCTAATGTCTCCGCCACACCTAAAATGGCCGACCGTAGCAACGACGACACGACCGTTCCTGTTATAATTTCAGGAACTTCTACTGTAGTTATAACTTACTTTTTTGCTACACCGTAGATTTTAATTTACATAACGTTTAATTAATATATATAGTATGTTCAATCGTATTTTGTCACCTTATTCTTAAAAATATATTTGACAACCCTTACAACTACTTGATGAATAAGGTCAGAATTTAGAATTAACTTTTTTAAAATTTTTGTTAATGGGTCCAACCCCTTAATCACAATTGTTTCCCAAATTTGTACTTTTGTTGACCAGCTTTTCAGTCATAGAGAAGAAAACCAAACCTTTTTACAATTGAGAAGCCATAGTAAAAATGCTTCAATTAATAAAGCCAACTTTAAATGATTAGTCTATTTATTTAAATACATATCGGTGATCTTTCTAGTCTTTTATCAACTAGCTAATCCCTACAGCCTTGCGATACTGGCTGCGATTTTAGGCACATGTGTAGCCTTAAAATATCCCTTTTTGGACCTTTGATGCCAGTTTGTATATCTGATGGTAGAAACACAAAAGCTAACCTTGACCAATTTTTATTTAAAAAATAAAAACTGGTAGATCCTTATTAAGTATAAGTTTTGGTCACACTAAATAAAGAATAACTTTTGGATTTTGGAAATGTAATGTCAAATGTGACAAATTGCAACAAATACTTTTGGTCATCACAACGCTTTTGATTTTCATTGTCATATTTTTACTCATAGACATGCAGGCAATATTTGCATCAGGCTTTAAACGTAGGAAATACAAACATGTTACCCAGAAAACAATCCCCACAAAGTATCCGTTGTAATACATCTTCAGAAAAAAAAATCTTTATATGATCAAATATTGGATTTAAAAAAGTGTTTAACTGGTAATATTTTAAATACCCAGAAGGTTTTGACAGCAATTTGTGTAGGATTTAGGCACAGATCAAACAAGTCAAACACAAGGCCCGCCTCAAAATAGGCATATGGATTACTATGCATTTAAAAGTACTGAACAATACAAACTTTTTGGCCAATAAATATAACACTCATACATGTTAAAAAATCTATTTCTGATATTTTCAAGTGTTATACTGCAAGTACCGCAGCCACATGGCATTACACTTGCTCTTGACAGTGTTTTCTCACGCTCAGCATGACACATCAGAGTGTGTAGGCCCACAAATCTCTGTTCAGGCAGAAAAACCACTCTGTCCAACCCTAAAAGGCACAGTTGTTTGTTAGCACTGTCAATATTAAACACGTGCACATTGTCTGTCATGTTGTAATACAAAAAAAAGAACACAGTAACAAATAAACCTTGGCTGAAAACTGTGGCATTAAGGGTCATTCTATGTGCCAATATATTCCAGTGTGTCAAAGACAAGATTTCACTCTGTTCTTCGAAAGCCATAAACAGTTACACCATACAGGTTTGACTGTGAATGTTTTTTGGTAGAAAACGTTTATAGTACAAATTCAGAAAAACACTCTTTGCTGCTCAATGACAGGTAAGTAAGGCTACAGCTATGTGTACATCTGCTGAATGTTATTATTGACTGGCTGTCCAAGAGGTACTGTCTGTTGCCATTATTACATAATTTTTTTGCATAGAAAAACCATGTTTACCTCTTTCATATAATTCCTTTTAAAAGAAAACTATATATTTAAAAAAAACAGACCGATACATGTATAAAATCTGGCAGATTCTTTTAAAAAGAGCTGATGTTTTCAGGTTGTTCCTTAAAGGCACAATTATAAAAAACACAATGTCAAAAAGTCAAGTCAGGGTAGGCAGACACCTGCTTTGGCAAGAGAACCACTCTGAGATTGATACTAATTGGAATGATTGTTTCTGGAGTTGCTTTGGTTGTTGATTCCTGCACATTCTATTAGTTCCCTCAAACAGTGGTTGCCAATATAGTAAGCACATGAGAAAGAGTGAAGGCTTCAGATTGTGATGTAAATGTTTCTTTAAACCAAAGACATTGTGTTTTCCAAACTTGAAATTCCCCTTATCCTAAATCGTGTAGTTATTTTTAATGCAGGAGTGAAGGGAATAACAACTGGACTCTACTTTCAATAAACAGTTCTTTGTCGATTGTAGTTGGTTGAAGCTGAAGTATTAACAGGAGCCGAGCGGTTCAATAGACCCTCCATGTCCACGAAGGTCCAGCCGTGTGTAAACGTTATCAGCTTGGCTGAGTTCTTCAAAGACAGGCAGAAGGTTGAGCAGCTCAGCATCTTCCAAGTCATCAAACCACGACAACACAGGAACCTGGGGAACCAAAACTGTTTTTATTGGTGTTTTCAGAAATATAAATATTGAATTTTCTTTTCAATTTAGTTTTCTTTCAATTGTTTTCATAGTCTTGCTTTTCTAAAACAATGAATCTTTTACAGTAATAGTAATTAACATTGTTGGTGTTTAGTCATTAGACCGAGATCAAAACTTACAGCATTGTTAGGATGGAAGATGTAGGAGGCAGGAGAATTATCAAGGATAAGCGTTTTGTGGAGATCTCTACCCAGACGGCTCAAGTCTTTGACATAGCAGCCCTGGTGGAACACACAAGATTCTCGGAATAACCGAGTCCGGAAAACACCACACTGGTCCAGCAGGTCTGTCACTGGGTCTGCGTACTGATGTAGAGAAGGAAGAGTGAGGATGTGTGAGGCTGAGGCTCATTAAGCACTTATTTATTAAGCACAAACTCATCACTTGAAAGGCAAGTGGAGAGAAGGCAGCATCTAAAATGTATTATCTGCATCTGCAAAAACAGATTAGAGCAGTGACTATTGAATTATACCTGTCTGTGCTAGGCAGAATACGTACATAATACCACAAGATAAGCTGTTGTATGTTATTAGTGCATAATTGTTGAAATAACCAAATGTAATTTTGGTAAACAACATTTACCAAAGTCAGAACTGAGGAAACCTGTGATGACCATATGTCACTTCCATAGCTCTCCTCTAGGTGGTCTACTACAAGCAACATCCTAGTCTGAAGAAAAGTGGGGCAACATAAAAAGTAAACTTGACTAAATCTAATATTAGGGAAGTGTAGTTAAGGTAACTTACAACATGTTCAGCAGTGGTTCTTTAACTAAAGGAGAAGTTGCAGAAGACTGTGGAGATTGTACTGAAGAGAATGTACCTTAGCGAGACTGGCTGTGAACAGCACACATTCAAACAGTTCTCCCATCCTCTGGAGGAACACGTCCACATACGGCCTCTTCAGCACATACACCTGTAAAAGACACTCTGTGTCACTAAGTAGTTCCACTCACAAGAATTTTTCACAATAATTTATCACTCCCCGTTGAAAAAATAAAATGTCATCTCCACCTGTAAGACGCTAGTAGCCAGTTCCCGAAGCAAGTAATCAAGAATAGGCCGTGTCGATGTTAACCAGCCTATCCTGGATTACTTGAACCAGGCAGAGGCCCATTGAGGGTTCAGCACCAGCACATGGGGGTCACATTTCTACGTTAATTACATTTCCACATGCCCACAAGTGTGAGGCTCCACACATAGACTGAACAAATCCCCCACTGTTAGTTGTCTTTTTTACTCCCAAACATTACACAACATCTGATTTTCACAGAGACATCACTCTTTACTGCATCACTTGTTTATTAAATTTTAAATGAATCGAGATCTCTTGCTGATTCATGCACTTCTTTCTCTTTCTTTTTCCTACATCTGGCCAGTAGAGGGCTCCAAGCATCCATCAGTGAAGGCCTGGCTGATCAGTAACAAGACCCATCCCTGCTCAGCTCAGCAACCACTGCAAACACATCAACATACATACACAAACAGACCCTTCCCAGCAAAACACACTCAGAACACGGCACTTTACCTGGTGTGTGGTCCCCTCTATCTCCACAGGCACGATGAAGTCGGCGTTACTAATAGGCTGGTGGCAGAAAGCAGAGAGGAGATGGTTGGTATGCAGCTCCTTCACATGTACATGTACATTCACATTACATAACACCTGAACCTGACTCCTCTGTGCTGCTGTAAATCACAGGACACAGCAGCGGCATAGAAACCAAACTGTTGGTGTTGCTGGTGAGTGTGCAAAAACTCAGACATGCTTTAATAAATAATCAGCAGCAGAAAGAGGCTGATGCACCACTGATACAGATTTTATTAAGTGTATCTTAGCTTCAACAGTAATGTTTCTGCTTAATAAGAACATCTGTGTAAGTTGCATTCTTACTAAACATGGCTGACACCTAATGATAATAATCACTGTTGTACCTTGAAAGAGCTGTGCACCAGGGTCTCATCCAGATCAATGACCATACATATCTTTCCCTGGTCCTGTGCATTTATCTCTGGCAGAAGACTGGGTTCAGGCAGCTGAGAAGACACACATGTACTTTTATATTAACACTAATACCATTTGTCTTATGTGGGCTTATATTTATGACCAAGGAGAATAATGAGTCCCCTGTAAGTATTGAAGTGATTCATATGAAAATCAAGGCTGGACTGTTCGAGTCTTCCTTTGGGAAATGAGATAAGACGGTCCTACCAAAGACATGTTGGTTTCTTATGTGGTGGACTTAATTATTTACCACCATAGCTTTTATGATTCAACATCTTAAGCGCTAGGATATGTATGTCTTTGATTAATCTGTGAAAAGCGTGTTGTTAGAATCTACAGATGTTCACCTGCAGGAAAAAATTATCTGTCTTTTTTTCCTTCTTTGTGGTTTTGTATCCTTGCTCTTTGGAGGAGGGAGTGAAGGTACATTTATTAATACATTACATAATGGCTTGTCTAAAGAGCAAGGACGACAAAGACTGATAAAAAAAACACCCTTGAAAAATAAAGTCTTTTATCACTTCCTAAACAATAAGCCTGAAGCATGACAACAACAAGATTTAATTTGTTTTCATTTTAGAGGGCGGCTATCAGACGATAACCAGACCGTACAGATGCTGCTTCCTGTTCCTTTGTGTACAGGTTAGCTCTCAGTGTGAGCAGCCAACGATTCTTATTGATATTCCGCTTGCATTAAACTGAAGCCCTAATCTGGTGACAACATTTAACAGTTGTGTGCAAAAGATGCTGAAGGCTTTGTTTTTTATTTCCCAGCCCAGCTGACATGAAGCACATTGCACTTTTTTTTCTCCCACCTCCTGCCAAAGGAACTGGGAGCGATTGTGTCGTTCTTATCTTCCTTCAAAGATCAAGTACAAGCAGAAATTTGTGTTTAACTTCTAAAACGCTCCCATCAGGTGCAGGGGTAGATTTTGGTGCTTAAAATACAGTATGTTTTATGATAATGATGAGCACATTTTTACAACAGCAGGTTGTCTATTCAAATTCCTTTCCATTAATGGCACACGATGTGCGAACGTAGGTGTAACAAGGAAGTAAAATCCAAAATCAACAGAGAATAAAGGCAGGACAGAGATGAGGTAAACAAATTGTTTCCAATAGTCTGACATATTGCTGGAACCAAAATGGTGTTACCTTGACAACTGTTCCATTTTCCTGTGAATCCAGCAAAGCCTGCTGGGAAGGTGGTAGTTGCAGTGACTGTGGTGGTGGTGGTGGTGGTGTTGGTGGTGCTTTGGGGCCATCCTGAGCTTTTAGGCAACAGAAGAGTGCTTTGAAGATGTTACAACTCCGAGGCTGTTTTAGGGCAGACTGGTTCACCTGGACTGTTTAGAACAGAGAAACACAGACGTTTAGGAGCTCACAAAGGAAAACTGCATTGACACAACATGGAGATGTTAATGGTCACTTTGAGTTATACACCAGGATCTGTTTTTTATGAGGGGGTGGGCTTAATCCACAAAATATATTTTGGATAAAAAAAATTATATTGAATAATGACAGTGACATGCACAGAGCAAGCCAGCTGGCTCCTCATCCATTTATCAACACAAATGGCAGGGCCCTCACATGAAATCTGTTTTAAATGCGCCTGCCTCTGCTGCTGCTGCTGCTGGAAATGGCTGGTACATGTTATATAATCACAGAGGGCGGGAAAACCCACACTTTTGAGCAGTACCCTCAACAGAAAACACAGAGAGAAAACATTCCAACCATTTTATACCCGGAGACCTCTCAAAAGATGCCTGAAGCTACAAGCAGAACAGTCAGAAAGAGACAGTCAGTGAGTCGGACCAGCAGTCACACCTCAGTGATCTGTGAACGTCTTTGATCGCCCACTGCAACCATAGTCGTCCCAGCTGACTTGATCATACAGAGTTGAAGAAATAGGTGTGGGGAGGGGAGCCTTCTTTTAAGAGGTTTCTCCCAGGAAAGCTTGCTTACATTTAAACCCAATGATACAGTGCCATAGTCCATAAAAATGCTCGCTCCACACTGGGAGGACAAACTGTTGATAAGCAAACAGAAGTGTGGCAACCAAAGCCTTCTCTGAGATTTACAAATGTTTGTTCTCCCAGTGTCCACTCTGCTGGTCCATGGTGTTTTGGAGACATAATGCAGACAGACCACCAATGACCACGCTACAAAACTCTACAGTAAGGAGACAAAGGACACCCAGGCTCCATTAGGTAACCTTACAAATGGAGCGACGGTTATTCAACACCATATCTCTCACGTTAGTGCAATTTTAATACAGTCCAGATGATGCATGTACGCAACCCGTGAATGTGAAATCTCTACTGCCAGTCAGCATTATTCAGTCTATGGATTTCCTTCAAGCTACATGAAATGAGCCAAGTGTGACATAACACATTGATTAAACCTACTTCACATTTAAGAACAGCAAAAACAACAAATACAGAATTTCAACTGAGACAGACCTGATGACTCCAGAATCATGCAATCCCACACAGTTCATCAAAACATTAAGGGGAAATGGGAGAAGGGGGCGGACATTAGGGATTATTTTCCAAAACCAAAACGGACCACAATCACGCAACATGAACGATATTATCCAAGTCAGTGATGAGAAAGAGTCAATGGGTAAAAACCTCATCATAGATCCAAAGAGAAGCATGCAAACAAGGGAATCTTTGAAACGGCGCTACAATGGGCGTGTGCAGAGGGGTGTGTTTGTGCATTCCGCTGTCAATACCGCGGCACCTGGTGTTTCTATGCAGCCCTGCTGCTTATTAATCTACAGTCCGAGGCGACCCCTAGTTTGCACCCCAACCTTGAAGATTCAAACAGCGACTGTTTGCTCGCCCACAGGATAAAAACAAACATAACAGATACAAAGCGCCAACAGCAGTGTCCAAGCCGAAAACAAGGACGACAGAAACACCGCAAAATAGTTCAGAATGTTACAGGATAGACTCTGGTCCACGACCGTGTCGACCGTGTCGACCGTCCATCTATACTGCACTGTCTCTCTGACGGACGAGCTGATCTTCATGCTCTACCTGCTGGTGGCGGTAGTACTAGGATATGGGCTGGTGCCAAACAAGCTGGAACCTGTGAAATAAATGCGCGGCAGCTGTTTTTTGTTTTTTTTTTAAATAGAGGACCAGGAACAGCAGCAAAACTAAAAAGAACCTTAAAAGCACACGATGGCTTCACGTATTTTCACAAGACAAACAGGGTGAAAAATAGCTTAAAATGCCTGGATGTAATTCTAGTGCGCAACGAACACTCTGGACTATAGGTTTTGCCCAGTGCAGCAGGAGGAACTTCACTGTAATGAAGTGCGGTAGAGGGTGAAATTAGCATTTTATAGCATAAATAGTTAATACAATATAAATATATGTTACGAACAGCTGTATAACCAATAATCCACAAACTGATATCTATCGATTTCTGTGTTTAAAAAGGCAATTTACACGAGTTTTATCCTAAAGGAAATACGCCAAAACGCGTTGAAAACAACAAGGTAATGGACACAGCGATCGCAGGGCTCAACTGTCAAATGCGCGCCATACAGGCTTCCTGTGGACACACATCACCGTCCTGAAAATAAACAGGACAAACATCCACTAGCTGCAGGAGCAGGAGGTCCACTGTGTAACAGCACAAAGTCAAAAACACGAACAGACTGAGAGAAGGCAAACTCACCTGTTTTCGGTGACACTTGAACGTCTTCTTTCTGCACTTGGGTGATAACAGAACTTTCCATCTGACAATCACGGAGCCCTCAAAATCCTCAAATCCTGTCCCCGGGCACTGATGCTCATCCCTCATTGGCTTTCAGTGACCAGTGGACTCACCGAGGTGAACTTGTCCTCCGCCTCAGCTCCGCTCCTCGGTCACACTGAGTGGGTTTGTTTCGTTTCTTCCGCCGAGTCTTCTTCCTCGGAGCTCCGCTGCCTGGAGAGGAAGAGGTACGAGGGAAAGGCACTGTGAGGAAATGTATTTTTGGAGGCTTTTGGTCGCTGCCTCAGTTTCAGCGCGTTTCCAACAATTAAAACTGTACAGCTGCCCCCCTGTGCCGTCGCAGCGAACTCCTCACTTTTGCAGCAACAACATGGAGAATCCAGGCGAGAGGAGGAAAACAACCGAAGAAATGGGGCAAGCGCAGCCGGTTTCAAGCCCCCCCTTACTACAGATAAACAACACCGCCCGAGAGGTAGCGAAATGCGACTAAAAACGCCGAGAAACGATACACCGTGTCTGTCCCTGTGTGGAAAAACAGAAAACAACGCGTATTTATATGTGAAATGTGAGTTTTCTTGTAATATGGGGTTTTGTTTTTCTACGTTAGGGAGTCCGCGGCTGCCTTGAAACAGTTGCTGCTCTGTGATTGGTGGGTAAGGAGGGATGGTGGGCGTGACCTAGGCATTCCTCCCTGTCCCGCACGCTCCGCAGCGAACACATTCCAACGCTTCTCTGGCAAATGAGATCACACTGTTTGGCCATAAAATACACAATAAATAAACAAACATCATATATTAATAAGTAAAGGTGTAAACAAGTTAACAATTGCAATCATATTAGCATCACAACGGCAATAGCGTATAATACCCACCTGTGCACAGAGATATATTTTTAATTCTTTTGTGTCGACAGACAGACAGATAGATAGATTAGAAAATAGTCATAAGGATTATATGTTTATATTATATGTTGGAACAATGTTTTTTGAAGAGAACAAATTAGTTTTATTGTAAAATAATGCAGTTTAAATCTTATAGACAGTCGTGCATTTCCAAATCTTAACTGTGACCCCTGGATTTAAAATAAGTGTAATGTTTTTGTACCACTGCTCAATCTAATGGCCATATCATTTAAACATGCATTTATAGCACCCCCTGCAGTGGAGGAAGGGGTAGTTACATACGCCTACTAATCGGGGTTCTTCAAACACCCTTGTCCAGGTGGGTGGATAAATGAACTCATCTGGTTCAACCTGCCAGGTCCTGATAATTCCATGTATTTTAATATAAATAACCCAAGGAAATAAATTCCACATCACTGAAAACAGGTTCTCAAATCCATTTTACCCACTTAGCTTTTGGAGCCTTCTCTAGTAAAAAAGAAACTCATGTCTGTTAGTTCTGTCTGATTATCCTAGAGAACCATAGATAACACATAGTTTCAGAGCAAAAGAAAATCTATAGTTGACTCCCAGACTGGACTCTGGAAACACCCACATTATAGGACCCTGTAAGAAGTAGTAAAAATGATCGACACATACGTAGATGTATGTAATTATCCCACACAGCCAATGCTTCAGAGAAAAAATATATACATTTTTGAAATTACTAGGCTCTGTATATAATATACAAGAATTAAAACATTTGTTTTCTAGTTCTGTGAGTTTTTATAAAAGAAAAACATACATTTTGTTTATACATTTATTCTTAATCACAAGCCTTTTGGTGAGGATAGTATTGATTTATGTTGTACAAAAACTGTGTTCCTGTACATGTGCACATAATAGCACACACCTATGGGGACTGTAGACTTTAAATACCCTTCAAAAAATAACCTCAATCAATCCTCTGCTCATCTCCATGGCTAAAAGCTGTGTTCAGAAGGTATTCCTTCCGAACAGCACAAGATGTTTAACTCCTTTTAGTTTATGTCGAATACATGGAGGTAACAGAGGGCAGAGTGAAACCAGTGACCTGGGCTACTTTCATTTTCCCTCTCATTTCACTTCCCTCCAGTGAGACAACAATGAATTTAAATCGACTCCCCGTTCTGCCTGAAAAATTCTAGGGGACGGTGTTGCGGCAATCACGGGAGATTTGTGCAACAACGGAGCCGTTGCTTTACAGTGTGAGACTCCTGGCCGTAGGAATTACACGATCATTGCATCATGTACACATCTGGCACAGTTAGACTATCTGGGTCTGACTCCAGTGAAGGATCAGGATAAAAAACAAAGCACTACAGACAGACCCTGATATTTTAAACAGGATCCAGTCATTTTCATAAGAGCGGAGACTAAACATGTTTGTTTTACCAAGTTATCATGGTCATTAGTGGCTCCCCAGGTATTTATCAATAAAACAGTGGAGTTCTGCAGTGCTTCTATGTCCTCTGGATGTTAAGAAAATCTCTGAGTAAATCAGTCACACTGCATGCTTCAGTGCACGTGAACCACAGCAGTTCGAGTAACAGCCGATATTTGCATTTAAGGCCATAAAACGCACACACTGCACACATCCTTCCAGGCTGTTCGAGTGAAGTAAACAGAAAGGAACAATAAAAAATAAACTTGTTATTAAAGGAACGGCACAGTTGAGCTTGTTGGTGAACCAACTCCAAACACATGTGGGCCCATCACACCGCAAGCTAAGCCAGTGCCCACAGTGGCCACAGTGCAAGGCATAAACAAGAATGGCCCCGCTGTTTGCATTCCTGGTGTCGGACATTTTAAGTCAGCACTGACAGATCTGTGTAAAAATATATACAAAATAAGTATGGGCCGCACAGCTGGAAAATGTCATGTGGCTTTGACGCTGATGGCGCTGTTTGCTATGTCGACCTGATCTCTGCTGCTTCTGAGCTTCTTCTGCAGCTAATGTTGTCCATGCATTCCTCTGAGAGAAGAGCAGTGAGGTCAAATGGTGTGAAGAAGACCTGAACCTGTGAGCCGTGGGGCTGCGGCTACGTACCTCCAGAAATGTGGCTTCAAACCACAAATATTGGCACAGTAAATGGTACGGTTGGGGACAAAATTACTAATTTGATATATGTAAGTATAAGAACACAACACAATGTTATAAAACGGCTACCTTCAATTATAGAGTTTAGATTATTTTACTAGTTATCTTTGTTTTATCAATAACGGTGACAGGCTGAACAATTACATACCCTTCCACCAAGTGGTAGTAAATGGCCATAGAAGCTATAAAAAACAAGATCTCCTTAATTTCTTTCATTCCTGTGAGTGCATCATGGCCATGTTCAACTAAACAGGAGATTCCATTTGCATAGTGTAGTGGGTATCACATTTGCCTCACAAGCGAAAAACAACAGACAACAGATTCAGTATACAAACATTTAGATTTTTGCTGTTTTTAATTGAAAATGATTTAATTTGAGTTTTAATGTAAAATTACAGACTCCTTAATAAAGGATGTAAGTTTATGCTTTTGCCATAGTAAAAAAATCCTACTTTGGGAAATACGTAATTAAAGTTTTTTCGTCCTTTGCTATGCATTCAGCTTTTGGAAATCGATAAAACTAGCAACAAAACCGTTAAATATGTAACACCAACTATAGACGAGGACTGAATCCACACTTGGAACAAAGATTTGGTTTTTAAAAAAACATAAAAACAAACAGAAATGCAAACGTTATCGTCCTTTTCAGACGATGTCGAAATAACGAGGTTCCAATTCTTTGTTGTGCTTT